TTTTTAGTTTTACCCAGGTTGAACGAGTCCTCCCGCCTTCGCGCAACACGGGCGCGCACTATTTATTTAACCGGCCGGGCCAGCACCCGAGCTCACCACCAATCCTGCTGTCCAGTACTCCAGTGTCCACCACCACCACCACCAGGTGGCAGCAGCACCCTTGCCTCCGCCTCGTCTCACTCCGTAACAACAACCAAACACTTGGCCAGTCAGTTCTGCTGCACGCACGCACAGGCATGGGCAACACCGTGGCGCCGCGCATGTGCCGCAAGGAGGCCGGCACGGCCGCCGTGACGACCAGGGGGAGGCGGCGTCCCAAGAGCTTCGTCACCGAGGTGCCGGCGGCGGGTCCGGATGCCGCGCCGCAGAGGCGCTTAGCCGTCACGCCGCGCAAGCGGCGGGACGACGTCGAGCTCGAGCAGCAGCAGCAGGACGAAACGACGACGCGGGCGGGGCCGGGGCGTTCGCGTGCTCGTGCGGGGGGAGTCGTCTCGTGGGCGGGCGGCGTCGGGGCTGACGACGCCGCCGCCGTCGGCAAGCAGGCCTCGGCCGCCGCCGCGGTCGTGACGGTGAAGATCGTGTTGAAGAGGAAGGACGCGGAGGCGCTGGTGGCGAGGCTGAACGCGCAGAGCGCGCGGGAGCGAAAGGCCAGGATGGACGAGCTCAAGGGCGAGTTCCGTGCCGGGGACTGCGTCGGCGGCGCGAGCCCGACGCCATGCCGGGACGCGTGGAAGCCCAGGCTCGCTCCGATAAGGGAGAACTAGCTTGAAGGAGAGCATCCCAGTGGTGTGTCTGTGAGACTGTGACACTAGTAGTCTGGGTACCGGAGATTGCATAGAAGCAGTAACCTGTTAGCTTAGTGTCCTTTTGTTGTTTCAGTTGTAGTATAGTATAGTATGGCTGGTTGGTCACCCGGCCATGTGCTACACGAGCTCTGCAAAGAGGGTGCGCGCGCATATATATTACTACAAAATAGCTTATTATGTAGCCAGGGCAGACACTGTGCGCCGGTTGTGTCTCCCTAGCATTCACCTGCGGTCCTAGCTTTCTGCCTTTATGAGCTATTTAATTAGTCAACGTCCGGCATGCCGCTAATGAATCACGGCCAATATGGAAGCTTGCATGCTTCCTAGTTACGGCAATTCAGCACTAGAATATGCACTTTTATTTACGAGAATACGTCAACAACTGAAATATATATTCAAATTCAAAATAATTACGATAATCTGAATATATTGTTACCGAAACACAGGACTACGTAGTTACGTTGTTACCGGAATACAGGAAAAAAGTTGCTTTAGCAATGAGATTAATTTACCATACCAAAAATAATTACGATAATGTGAATATATTGTTACCATATTTAGCGTTGGGACTTGGGAGTTACCATGACTCGATATCATGATGATATGAGGGACCAGTTACCATAACAAACAAACAAATTTACCATAAATTATACGCACATTGAGGCAGAGATGTCATTTGTTATATTGTCGTGACTACTATGCACGCTAATCCCAAAAAACAATATAGTGCACAAAAGCATTCCGTTATGTATCAACACTTTTACAACGGGCTCAAATCAAATGTACATCAAATATGATAGCTAGGAATATTTATTTTGACACCAAACTGAGGCCTTTGTGCCTCAAGTTCCGGAAGCTTCTTGATTTTGTTTTCGAGAGGTACTACATGTACAGAAGAGCAGCTGAGACAATCTGGACTGATCGAGGCACATTTTCCTGCGTGGTGCATGCATCCTCACTAGAGTTGATCTTCTTCTCCATTGCAATTGACAAGGAGATCCCATCTCCTGAAAAATCATCATGAAAGGAACATCTGTAAATGATATAAAAAATTTACAAAGATTTATTGTTAAACATCTGTAAGCATAACTATTATTAGCTAACTGCCACTAAGAAGATTTTTTTTCGGTCATTTGGGGGGGAATAAGAATAACTCATTACTCATTATAATTATAGTAACTGGTCACTGTAGTAGGAAATATTTTTGATAACCGTGCAGCACGAAATTTCCTATGAGAGTGGACTATACATCGTTCAAAAATTTGACAGCTAAACAAACAAGCAGAGACCCTCACCAAAAAAAAAAGTGACTGCAGGATTCCCAGCGAGACTGCATCAGACGATGACCGATGGGATAAAAATTATAATCAGGTTATCGTTAGGGAAAGAGACTTCACAATATGGGGATCCAGATCCTCGATTGCGTGTTTCCATTGCTCACCTGTGGGGCGCAGCTTGAGGGAGGACCAAGGGGGCGCCGTCATAAGTACTCGAGCCGTCACACTTCATCCAACAGTGCGCATGTGCAGCCACATGAGTCACCACATGATGATGGAACTTCCCAAACAGGCATGTTGAATCGCATGAAAGAGTATTAGGGTGGATCGAGGGCGCATCTGGCCATCGCCGACGGGAGCACCGGGTGCCGTGGAAGGCGCCGCTGCTGGGGAGCCAAGGGAGGTGCCGCTGTTGGGGGGAGTGAGGCACCGTCGCCGGGGGGAGGACGAGGACGTCGCCGGAGGGTCGATGGGGAAGCCACCACGTGCCACCGTCCGCTGCCTCCCCGATGGATCCGCGGCGCCGGAGGGGAGGAGGGGAAAGCCACCACGCGCCACAGTCCGCTACCTCCCCGATGGATCCGCGGGATCCGTCGGCAAGGGAGCAGAGGAAGGGCACCGGGTGGGAGGGAGAGGCGCCGACGGTGAATGAAACAAGGCGGGAGGGGCGGCAGGGGCGGGGGACGAGGCGCGGGGGAGGGCGGCGTCGGTGGCAGGCACCAGTTGGGGAGGTGAATGAGGATTCTTTAACGAGGATCAGTGCGCTGGGGACAAAACATGGTCGGACCGGACCGGCCCGACACAGCGACCCAGCTATGCCTACGTGTGTGTGTATATATATATATATATATATATATATATATATATATATATATATATATATATATATATATATATATATATATATATATATATATATATATATATATATATATGTTTTCATGGATCATTTCTTACAAAAACGATCGGGTTGGTCTTTGATTTTCAATTAGAACGGAGAGCATCATGCACAAGGGCTCCTCTTCCTTCACCCACGCCGGGAACTGCACCGCGGGCATGGACAGTTCAGCGGTCGGTCAGGGTCAGGCCATCTGGCGGTTCTGGCTTCATTACCATTGCCAATGGGCAGTCCTGTCCGCTTCAGTCGTTAACTACTATTTCATAGATATTCTGTTTTCTTTTTTCATGAATTCACACGTCGTATTTCTTCCTCTGGTTCTAAATGTACTTGCTAAGTATTTTTTACTCACCCTTGTGTTTATTTGTTTGTTAGGTACCAAATGATTATGACATGCATAAGAACGGGTTGTAGCACTTTTGTGAGCACGAACACTTAATTATATATGCTTAATTTCTTATTCAAAATTTGTACAACTGTAATACTTTAATAGGTGGCGATGCGGTGTAGGTCCGAGTGACGTTTCGTAGCCCCACAGGCGGGGCGGTCGGGAGGAGACGGGGGTGATGAGTGACACGGATAGCACGTTGGCCGAGACCACGGTAGCCGGATAGAGCGGGGTGGCGGGCAACAAAAAGGAAAAAAAAATCGAGAGAAGAAGCGAGGTGGATGAGAGGATGGCAAGTGGTTCTCATAACAATGATTGATTGTGTCCAATCCATATCCATCTCATTTAGTTCAGTCACCCAACTAAACAAAAAAACATAGATGGACCTATCCTTCTTAACCGAATATGGAATACAGGATAGGACCATTCCATCCTAGAAATCAAGGATAGAATCATCTCATCTCAAAACATCCCAAAACAAACACATACTTCAATTATGTTGTAGTAAGTGAATTATTGGGCATTTAGGGTACGTTTATTTCCGAGAACCTTGGCACAATCGTTGCCATAAGCCCATGACCAAACAATTGGCAAATGTATTTAAATTCGCTTAACTTAATGTAGCAGCAATATATGGCGAGATAATAGTCACCAACCAAATCCGCCGCACTAACTTTGGCTCCAAAAGACGTGCTGGCTCTCATTGTTTCAAAAATAATAATAACAAATATGTGTTGCGAGATTCATTGGCAGTTTGCAGTTATTAGTTAGTGCCTTAATGAGCTACTTTGAGGCCGTCACAATCTATACAGACCGGTTCGTCGCATAAAAAAAAAAAACTATGTAGACCGGTTCAAAGGTTCTATCTTGATTAAAAAAAAATATATGTATAAGGGTTGGGTAACTTGAAACTTTATTCGACACCGATTGAAACCAGGAATGGATAGAGTGCCTTCCCTTATCTCTAAAAAAAAACATTTCTTGATAACCGAGAAGTATAATTTTTTATTAGGTATAAATTAGATACACACAACTCACACACTTCACACTCACACCACACGCACACGCACGCGTGCGCGTCCGTACACACGCAAAGAAGAGATTAAGAGGCATCGTCTCCGGTGTGTGGAAAACGCATAGTACCACCGAATACACACGTCTGTGTATACCCTAAAATTTCTGGAAAATTTTTTAGAAAAAAGTGCGATCAACAGGGTGCCCTACCACTGGACCATAAACTCATTCGCAACGAAGAAGTATAATGATGCTCTAGTACGTGAATTATTAGGCATTTAGAGACGGTTTTCCTGACACAGCCACATCTTATCGTAGACGTTCGATTTTAGACGTCGAGACTGAGATTGATGCCTGAACCTGCCTGATAGGGTCTCAATCAAACGGGCCTTTGGTTCCCGCGCTTCCGTTCAGGCCCACGAGAACGGGAAAACTTATCCGTGCCGCGCTGCGCACACGTCCCCTTTTACCCAGTCTGAACAAGTCCTCCGCTTCGTGACGCTACAATAGTTAAAGCACGGCCGAGGAACCATCCGAGTTCCGAACACCACCATCTCGTGTCACTCCCTCGTAACCACTCACTTGGCCAGTTTCGCTCCACGCACGCACGCACAGACATGGGCAACACCGTGCCGCCGCGCGCGTCCCGCGAGGCCACCGGCACCGGCAGGAGGGGCGCCGGGACCGGGCGGAGGCGCTCCGAGAACGTCGTCGTCACCGAGGCAGCGCCTCCTGCCACGCCGAGCCGCCGCGTGGTGGCCACGGCGCGCAAGCAGGGGCGGGACGACGATGACGGCGACGTTGAGGAGGAAACGACGCGTGCGGGACGAGCCCTGCGGGCGGGTGGTGATGGCGACGGCGACGGCGCGGCTCCGGCCCTGGCCGGCAAGGCGGTGTTGACGGTGAAGATCGTGATGAGGAGGAAGGACGCGGAGGCGCTGGTGGCGAGGCTGAAAGCGCAGAGCGCGCGGGGGGAGCGCAAGGCCAGGATGGCCTTGCTCAAAGGCGATCTACGGGCCGGGAGCTGCGGTGGCGGCGGCGCAAGCCCGGCATGGAGCCGGGTCGCGCGGAGGCCCATGCTCCCGCCGATAAAGGAGAACAGGTTTGAGCGCATCACAGCAGTGGTGTGACACCACTAGCTTGAATGCTGGAGTCCGTTTGCTTAGTAGCAGTATATTAAGTTAGACGTGAGCAACTTGTTAGCTAGCACCTAAGTTTCCTAGGCCAGTTGCCGTTTCAGGTGAGGAGTGCATGATGCGTTGCCGTTGCTCACCCGGCGGCCATGTCTGTACATATTTAGATCTTCGTATATATACCTGGTGGTTCAGTACCAAAATGATTACATGGGAGCATGGTTTAATTAATTTCGTTCGAGTTTCTAGTCTCTACTGAAGAAGTAGTGCAGCTCATGTTCTTAGTTCATGAGCACTTCGTCTCTATCGCCTCAGCTAGCGCTATCGCTTCATCTTCAAGCTTTTAGTTTTCTGAACGGGAAGCCAAACCTGCCACGCAGCCACGACGGCTAATGCATGCATCAGCAGCGAGCATTTGCATTGGCTGCACTGCTCGTACCTTACCCTTTCACACGGTACATCCTGCAACGGTTACTGTCACGTACGTCAGGAGATAGTGGTCACCGGGGCCTGGTATAGATCAGATAACTGCTAGAAATTAAACAGTCGACCTGCGCAAGTGGCCCGCCGTTTTCACGCTCCCGTAACAAACGATACCGCGGCGGACGCGTCCTCATCGATCTACGGTGTCACGTTAATTCGGGCACTGCCTGAGCCCATCCGTTCCTTCTTCCTCTCTGAGTCTGATCTAACTTTTCATTTCATCCTGAAGACGGCTGTCAAGGTCAGATGTTTGATTAGCAAGCGTCTAAGGGTCAGTTTAATCGAGTTTCTGCTTTTCACAAGCCACCTTCGTTCTGTGGGCCGATTGTAAAAGCTAGCTCAAAAGCGTACTTTATGACACACCTTCACAAGTCCCGAGGACAGACCATGAAGTTTACTCTTTAATTATGTTTTGAATAGATTGAACATATATAACAATACCTCTGGTATTAGCATTCTATGTACGTAAGCCAACAAAAGTTCCTTCGTACCTGTGTTTGGCTTCTAATACAATACAACCTTTAGCTTTCTTAAACAGGCTATTACGGTGTTACCTGAGCCTGTCTGTCCATGGTGTAAGCTTACCACAATTACCACGGCCAAATTGATGGAGGTTCAAAACTCAAAAGTAACAGCAGTGATTACTTGCCGGTGCTCTACACAGGTAGTGGCGCCCGTTCCCAGCACGTACGTAATCCAGTCTGTGATCCTTTTCCTTTTTCTTTTTTTTGGATAATCCACTTTATTGTCGGCCTGTTTTCGGAACTGTGAACGGAGCAACGAACACACTCAAAATAGCTCATATATGGCGAGGATAATTGGTAACTTCAATTTAGCAGTCCCTCGTTGAAGCCACTAATAATGAGGCCATCACAATAAATGTAGACCGGTTCAAAAGATTTATCGTGATCAAATTTAAGAGGGCAACGTGAGCTTATCCTTGACCGTTTCAGACAAGCTAGAACAGACAGTGACAACTGACAGCGAAATAGTAAAAGTGAAACGTGGAGATTCCTCACGTCCACGCCGCAATAGTAACCGGGCCTTACAGATTTAGAATTTGTAGCACTAGATCCGTTTGTCACAGCTCCACTCAAGATCTATCTACTGTAAAGATAAAAAATAATTTAAATGTGTTTAATACAAATAAAAAAATTGATTAACCAAATATGTAGACCATCTTAGTTATGTCCTAAGTCAAACTTCTTTAACTTTGCACCAAACAGATACACTATTAAGACATACTTCATTGTGGAATTAATGAAACTAATTTGATGTTGTATATGTTGTTGCAAAAAGATAGAGGCTAGAAGGGGAAGGAGAGTGTATCAAGTGGTCAACTTTTGGACATGTTAAATGGAGTCCAAGGTGATCTTGAAGGGTGTGACTAAGAATGTCGAAAAAATGACAGCAACCATGGCACATGAGGCCACCATTCAAGAAAATGTGATGAATGTGGATCCCAACACAAAGTTAAGAGAAAACAAGCTTGGGTTTACTTGAACCAAACAAATCAAAGTTGTTGTTATGCTTGTGAAAATACCAGAGCAAATGAGCATGCTTTAACTCTTCAAGAATTACTGGTGTGGGAATTCATTATAAACATGCTTAGTGTCATGTTAAATTTTACTACTTTATTGCATATATGTTCATGCCATAATTGATATGCTTACTCTTTCACAACAATTGCAAGTTATGTTAGCTAGCCAACATTTTAGTATCTGGTTATGAGTTTTTATTTTGCTCTAGTACTTGTTTATATGCTGCTACAACTTCTCACTCCCCCAGTAGTAGCCTTTGTGAGCAGCTTCTTTGGTAACTTATCCAAGTTGTCTTCAGAAGGAAGAGTCGGGCAGCTCGCTCCTGTAAAGTTCCACCACATTTTAATTTTAATCCACGAGATTGCAGCTCTATTTTTAGCTTCTCCAGATCAAGCACCTATAAGGCAACAACAAAACCAAAGAGGTTAGCAATGTGAGAAACAACATTGAGATCAAGACATCACAAAGCAACGTTCTTGATATATACCTTAAGTTCATACAGAGAAGGAAAACAATGATTAAACAAAAACCCAGACCCTTATTTGTCTTGCTCATATATAATACAAAAACAACAAAAAAATCAAACAAAAACCAAGAGAGAGTTCATATGGAAAAAGGAAGAAAGGAACAGAAATCCAGTGAACTGTGCTCAAACGGACAAGTAGGATATGGACATATTACCACAATACAAGTCAAACAGATTTGCAAGTGTGTATAAAGAAAACGGAATGAAGCATGTGGACTGAGTGATTGACAAAGTGTGCTGATAGTTTGTGTTTGAATGAGCATTATCACTGTTGCACATTACACTTCGCATGTATGGAACTATGGACCTATCAAGCTGATTGGCCATTAATTTCCAAGCCAATCCCATATGCCACTTCAAATGAATATCAAAATGGAACAGAATTGGCAGAAAGAGACAACTAAGTGTTCGTTAGAGTATTGGACTATTGGAGAGCTAATGATATCTACTACAATAAGCTGACTCCACATTAATTTCCAAAGGCCATCGCATTTGCCACTTCAAATGAAAAATAAACTGGAACAGAATTGGCAAAAATTGATGACAAGTGCTCGACAGAGTATTTGAGGGCCAATGATATCTACATAAGGTGATTACCCATTAATTTCCAAGGCAGTCCCATTTACCATTTTGATATATGAATATAATCTGGAACAGAAATAGCAGAATTTGACAGTTCGGTTTTGACATTATTTTTTATCATTAGATCTCGTTGGATGAATTTGACAATGTAAAATTTCTCAAACTGATAATCAAAATATTTTTTTAGAGTTTAAGGGCCTCTGCCCCGGCCTTTCAATAGAAATCAAAAGACCATATGTTCATTACAGCGCAGAAGTTCGAAGCCATGTTTAAGGTCCACCCGGACCAGATACAGCTTCGGAACACAAGACTAAAACCACAACTCAAAATACCACCACTGCACCAGCTAGAAACGCAAACGAAGACTTCACAGCAAAAGATTTGTTCAGCTCAATCCACTAGGGCACCAGCACTTGAACAGGAGCGGCCGGTGATGCTTCTAGAACGCCAGCTTCATCATCATAGGTTTCCCACGCCACGCCACCGGAAACAACAGATTTGCCGAGTGCCGAAAGATTTGCCGAGTGTATTCCTTCGGGCATTCGGCAAAAAAGATTTTTGCCGAGTGCTTCAGAAACCACATTCGGCAAAATAAGGGCACTCGGCATACCAATATCTTTGCCGAGTGCTGAAAAAAGACCAATCGACAAACTAGGAAAAACACTCGGTAAAACAGAGACACTCGGTAAAAAACCGTCACGTAGACATCCATAAGTTAGTGTGCCGGCCGTTAGGAATTTGCCGAGTGTCCGTTAGTGGCACTCGGCAAAGAAGTAAGTTTGCCGAGTGTTTTTATTTAACACTTGGCAAAGAAATAATTTTGCTAGTGTTTTTCTTGGGCACTCGACAAATAAATAAGTTTTTTTTTCTTTTCTGACCTTGAAACTTTTTGTACTGTCCACATACAACATGTGATACTCCATGTTAAGATTTGGTATATTTCTAGATCTGTTTGCTATATTTAAATAATTTATTACATTTCAAGGAATTTTTTTTGTATAAGTCAAATTTGAACTGCAAGTGATTCAAATAATAGAATAAAATGAGTAGAAAAATGATATTCATGTTATTGAGTCCGGTGTGAGGCCTTACCCAGATGAAAAGAAATTTCGAACATCTTGTTCAGGAAACACGACCACGAACGTGTGGCCGAATGGTTTTTAAATTCTAAAAAAAGCAAATGAAGTCTGAAAATCATGAGATTTGTCAAGATCTCGTGATATCATACGTGGAGATCGTGGTAAAAAATTGAGAAGGTTTCACACAATCTATCACGTACGATGTTTACAAATCGAAGTATCTCAGAAGAATAATCGTAGCGTTGAGAAGGATTCGGTAAGATTTGGAGTCAAAGTGACGGTCGAATTAGGGTTTGACTTCAAAACTTTTTGTATAGGAAATAGAAAATATATATTGATTCATGTATAATTTTGGTAATTTTTTGGATCCGTTTGATAATGTTAATTTATTAAGTGCAATTATAGAATTTTAATTGATATAAATTGAATTTGAGCTATAACTGTATGAAATAATAAGTTTTTTCTCTTCTGACATTGAAAATTTTCTACTGTCCACATACAACAAGTGGTACTCCATGTTAAGATTTGGTATATTTTTTGATTTGTTTGCTATATTTAAATAATTTATTGCATTTCAAGGATTTTTTTTGTATAAGTCAAATTTGAACTGCAAGTGATTCAAATAATAAAATGAGTAGAAAAATGATATTCATGTTATTGAGTCTGATGTGAGGCCTTACCCTAGAAATAAAAAGAAATTTCGGACATCTTGTTCAGGAAATAGGACCATGAACGTGTGGCCGAATGATTTTTAAATTCTAAAAAAAGCAAACGAAGTCTAAAAAT